GAAGAGTACGCAGTACTCAGTACGGGCAGTAACCGTGAAAATGTTTAAGATAACTTAGATAGAACCTGCTAGTTCATTTTTCAAATTCGGTGCTATTACCAAACGTCCGCAGAATGTTTGGATTGCCTAAATTAAATACGCTTCAGGGTTGATATCGCCTCTTTCGACTTCGATGGCATTAAATTCCAGGCATCAAAGTACGCGCGAGAGCTGTTAGATTTTCTCCTACTTTTAAGCTATATAGCGTTCAGCTAATTATTGAGGAGTAATGAATTTAAACACATTTCCGAGGCTTACATGAAAATCTCACAATCGTAAACACTGGCAATCATTTTAGACGTTTTTAATGTATCCACTCATAGAAATGCGGTCCTAACATAACCAAAACCCCCGGAAGCGAGAAGGATTAGTGAGACCTAAAAATATTTTTGACTTGCAATGAAAAAATCTTTCCTTCTGTTCAGTAGGCATACTTTTAACATTTTAAACATCATAACTAAGCCCCACTTGACCAACGGCGAGGGCGCATAAATTGAGGATGTTCGCTGACATCGGGCGAGGTCACTGAAGGTCAAGTCGAGTCAAGTTTATTAAAGGAAATATAGACAAACGCCTTTGAACTCGATCTTGGTGCAAAGTATTTAAGAAATTCATCGGCACAGCCGCACACTTCAAGGAAGTCGTTGACACAATTTTAGGCGACAACTCGCCTGTTTAAAGTAATACACTCACATGTGATGATGCCAGTTAACACAAGCCAGCAGTGTAACTGAGCAAGAAGAGTAGACAGTGAAAAACTCCTAAGGCTGGCTCATAATTCAAAATGGAATGTCATTTGTTGTTTTTAGGAGAAAAACTGTCGCTCGTGGGGAAAGTGTGTGAATGATAGGACTAGGATGCTTCTGTGAAGGTTGTGAATGTCATTTGTGTTTTTAGGAGAAAAACTGTCGCTCGTGGGGGAAAGTATGTGAATGATAGGACCAGGACGCTTCTGTGAATGTTGGCGGCAGGTCAGAGCGTGTAAAATGGGACGTGTTCACTGACCTCGGGCGAAGGTGAGCGCGTGTAATTTTTTTGGGGGGGAGGAGGTTGATAGGTGACCTCGGGTGAGGTCAATGAGGCGCATTTTTTATATTATTACTAAACTCAATTGGAACAACGGTGAGCGCACGTAACTAGGGGCGGGTGTCCACAAACCTTGGACAAGGTTACTGAGATACTGTATGCGGGGGGGCAGTGAAACTTGCGAGTCGAAGGAGGACGAAAACCGGCGCTCGAACCAACTCCTGCATCTAAGTGAATCCATGGCAGTAAACAGAAAGTATACCTACTGAACAGAAGGAAATAGTTTTCCATTATAAGTCTCAAATATTTGTTAGGCTGCACTTATCATTCTTGCCTTCCTGGGTACCTAAGACTTTCTTGTACGGGATGAATAGCCAATAGCCAGTATACGTTTGGACCTGCGTAAGAAGACTATTCCACTACTATCAGGTTTGGCTGTCCACTTCGTTTATTTCTTCACGCTAATGTTAATAAGCAGGCCTTTTAGTTGTCCAGCAAAACTGAAATAGACTGTCAAATAAATTCTTTAATATTCACGTGATTTAATTCCGAAGATATCGTCTTGATCACAAAGTAGTCTCGTACTATTTTATAAGTATTTAAGCATCTGAGGAGTATGAAGCTTCCCCCTCCGTCCAAATAAGCAAAGGTTTTTCCAACCTATATAGGCACAGAAAACAATGCTTTTTTAGAAAAAGCTATTGATCTGATTTCATAGTAAGTAAAAAAAAGACGAAGAGGTCATTCGCTTTAAGGCTAGAAAACAGTTTTTTATTTTCGTAAATCATTAACAGTCATAGCAGTATTCTGATGTTGCGGAGTCAACTGAAGGATAACGTGTCTGTGAGTATAGAGACGGTAAGTGGTTGTGCCTCTCTCATCTCCGCAATACTTCCAATAGTTTAAGTAACAGAAAAATGAATACAGGCACCACTATTATAACTGTGGCAAGCAGAGACAAAACTGCCGTAATCTGTTGGTGAGTCCAGTATTTGCTGACATGCTGGAGACCCAGCAGCTTGACTACATCGCCCAGCCATAGGGCAATGCTTTCATTACGAACGCCGTGATCCTTCCCTTGGTATTTCACTTCTTGTTGTTGTTCGGACCAGCCGAAGGCATCTACTAGGAGCAATTCGTCCTCTGGTGTCCACAGGATTCCAGCCTAAAATAGACAGACGCCCGAGAATGCTTATTACATTTAATATTGAGCCTGTAACTTTGGAATTAATCCGGATATTGGATGAGTCATTTTAGGGAATGATTTATACTAAATACAGACATACCTACTAAATGCATTACAGTAGGAGTAATTTTGAGCTGCTCAGAGGTGTTCGACCTGACTTGGGGACAAATTCAATACAAGTACTTAATTGCAATAGCAACCACCCAATCAGCCACAAAAGCAATTGCGTAAGGCCACCTCATCGTCTTGTTGAACTGCACTAAAGTACACTTGAAGAAAAAGTTCCTGAACTGTAATATCTTCGACGGATAGGTACCCACGCAAGTTTCTGAGCAGGCAAAAACGACACGAGCAACAAAATTACATTCACGTCAAACTTTGGCGAGCGATTTCGTACGTTAAAAACGCTTCTGAGGCCGTCGGCCGCCTTCTTGCATAACTTCGAGTTGAGGCGTCATGAGGCGTCGGACACTGAAATCAAAAGACCTACCGCCAGGCCACCAAATAGCTGGTGTCGTCTATAGGATTCGGTGCAGTTACGCCAAGGCAACTACATTGGAGAAACTGGAAGACTTCTTAAAATGTGAATTGCCAAACATGCGGCCACAGTGAAGAGAAATGACACCAATTCTCGGGTCGCAGCTTTTATGACGAGGCCGAAATGCTCGCGAGAGATGAAAATCGTGCTAACTTAACGTTCAGACTCAGTTTGGCTAAAGCGATGCGTCCCTCGGGGTGCACAAAGACGAACCCGTCCTCTAACCCCGGCGTCACATATCTGAGCAATCATCGCAGCGATTCCGCCAAATTTTATGAAATCTCTGCAGGTCACTAGCCGCACACCACCATCGACCAGTAAGCGCACAAGAGGCAACTATCCTTGATAGGGTTAGTATGCATTTGCCATAACTATGCAGCTGAATGGTGACTGTATTCTATCTATACTGCAATCTCCTGTGTATGGGTTACTCATTTCCGCTATCGTCGCTGATGATCGCTCCGCGACGGAATCCGAAAATTAGGCGAATGGAGTTTGTTATTTCCAACTGGAAAAGTTATTAATTACCCTTGTCCATTCCCATTGACTCTCTGCTACACCTTATACGATTGCTTGCCTCTTACGAAAGGCTATTCCATCGTCCCCTAATACTGCGTGCATGAGTCTCCTTCCTCCAAGAATTCGGCTCTAGTCGACTATTTTGTTTCCAGTCGAATGCACACAAGCACTAAAACTAGTCCCCCCAGCCAACTTGTACTTTAAACCTGTTCTCACCACCCGTTCGGCTACCTGGCCTTTTAATCACATTTGCCTACAACGCTTCCATCTCCCCCACTGCATCAAAATACAACTGTTTCAAGACCTACTCGATATTGCCTCCCCTTTCCTTTCAGACCAATGGTAGTCCACAGGAACTGCCTCCAGTAATCACCTTAAAGTGACAGTCCCGTCTCTCCCATTAATTCATACAGGCTCCCCCAAGATTGATTTTGCCCTAAGTGGCATTGTTTTCGAATGCGTGTTGTTCCTTTATGCAGAGTCAAGCAATTTGGCCGATTCTTTTCCTTCTTGACTGTGTGTATCCACTGTCGAGCATCATACTGCCGTGATGGTTGTTATCATTTATTTTGACGTACGCGTGACTGCTGTTTACAGTCCCGGAGAAGTCAACAAAACGAAACAGAGTTCTTGTTCCAGCTATCACATCAGTATCCCCCAAACCGCTTTCAATATTTATTTAACATTTTTGATTTATTCACGCCTCAAACTCGGCAAATATACCTACTGACATTGAGCATCGCTTTTGGAAACCAGAACTAATCCTACTTTCCCTTTAGTGCAGATGTGCTTAAAACAGCTACTGTACTACGCGCATATGTGTGTACACGTGTCGCTATTACTGCCCACGCACGAAATAGTTGGTTAATTCGTACTGTTTTTATCACTTCCT